TTTATTTTTGTGATGTGAATCTTAATTGTTGCAAATTTTGATATTTTTTCTTAGATTTCTAATAGAATTTCATATTTGGGTGACTATTTATCATTTGAAACAAATGAAGTGAGTTTTCTAATTTTACATTAAGGGGTTATTTGATTTGATGAAAAATGAATATGCATTTCAAATGTAGAGGTTTTCAAAATTTTGGTGTCTAGAAAATGCAAAGTAAAATTTTGGTGAATTCCCAATTCACTCTATAGTTCAATTTTTATGAATTCAAAACTATCCCATTTTTTGGCTGAATTTCAAAATACAATGCAAGCTAACTCCACTCTCGCCGTCAGCCACCACATTCCTTTTTAAGCAGATCAATCAGGCCCTAAAAGAAATTAGTTTTTATATAAATTAAAAGTTAGGAAACTATGAATTAATGGTCTTTTGTGTTTTTTTTAATGCATCTCATCCTAGTTTCAACAGTAAACCCAAGACCTTAAAGGGTGCTTCATCATACTCCATCCACGTTCCCCTCGTCACACCAATTAACTAAATTAATCTAGAGAAGTTGTGCTAACAAGAGAACATATACATTCATAGGAATAAACACATAAGCAGTTCTACTCAAAAAGTTAATTTTCATGATGTGCAAAACTATAACCAGCATTTCACTGTAAAGTCTAGAGTAACATAAAGGAAAAAAGAATGCAGAAAACTTTAGTGTTGAAGGAAAATAGAAAATATATCTAAAGCAGAGAAAAATATTAAATAATTTAGAACAAATAGATACCTTAGTGTCAATGTTATCAATGCAGTCAAGAACAAAATCAGGCTTCCCAGATAGAATTTCTTCCTCCGATGATTCATCATACAACCGAACTTTTGCTTCTACTCGACACTCTGGAAATATTGATGAAAAATGTTTTTGGAGGCATATAGCTTTTGGCATCCCAACATCAGCTCTAGTGGCCACAGCATGTCGATTTAGTGATGAGAGTGATACCTTCCCGATATAATCATGCAATGCATTCTTTAGATGTGGAATTGAAAAGGTTTCATATGCTATAAAAATTTAGAACATCATGCATGAGAAAGAAAAAAAGAAGCAGCACAAATCGACAGTTATTACTTCTTCTGTTTTTTTTTTGAAAATGCAATAAGCAACTTTTTATTCACTTACTACTTACAAGAAGATTCCTCCTTTAACAATTCTAGAAAATATGGAGGAACTTTATTCCTAGAGAAATCATCCCAATAAAAGGACGACAAAAGAGCATAGCGCAAAAATCAGCTAACTTATTATAATGTCTCTTAGAGAAAGAGAAAATAAAATGCTTAAAGTTAGAAAGAAAATCTAAATCCTTAGGCTTTAGAAATTCTTCATCAGTCACCGGCTTTCCCAAGGAATTTTGAAAGATTTTGATGACATTATAGTTGTCACCCTCAATCACAAGGCCTTTTACATCAAGCATCCAATCTTGAATATATTCTTTCAATGTCAGAATTGCTAACAACTCCATTTGAGAGCAGTCCCAATGAAGACAATGAATCCCAAAAGCAGCTAAACCAAGGCCTTTACAATCCCTGAAAACTCCTCCTATGCCGGCTTTATTATTAGAGAGTACTGAAACATCTACATTCACCTTGATCCAACCCGGAGGAGGATGCCAAGAAGATTGGGACAGCTTATACAGCTGATTAGCATCCCAGTTATCCCGGATTAAATAAGAGTCAAAAGATGAAACAGCCTGAATAATAGAATTTGTAGCAATGTTAGAACAGCTGTCTTCTGACCCTCCATGAACAAGTTTATTTCTACTTTTCCTGCAAAAGAATACCACTGAGCAAAGTAAATTACCAAGGAACGGATTTGATTCAGCAAAGTTATTCAATAACTGATAGCATTCTACCATAGAATCAAATGCTGGAATAATAAAATGCCAAGCAGCAAGTAGTTCCAATACTCTTCTAACCATATAACATTGTGAAGCCGCATGTTCTACATTTTCCATCCCCTTACATCCTCTCGGACATCCTCCAAACTCAGCTAGCCTCCGATACAACAGAAAACCAAATGTTGGGATTACATTCCTGCATAATCGCCACCAAAACATTTCAATCTTTGGCCTTAGCTTCAGTTTCTTTCTCCAGATCCATGTTTCGTCTTCCCTATCATTTTCAAAATTTTTGTCATATGCAATAGCTGCTATAGATTTACCAGAAATTTTTCTTATACATTCCAACTTGTCTTCATTAACTTCAGAATAAATTGGAATTGAAACTATCACTTCAATCAAATACTGACCAAAATAGATCTTCAACATGTTTGTATCCCATTTTCCATCAGAAATAAAAGCCGAAACATGACAGAATTCTGGATTTAAAACTGTTACAAAAGTTGGCCACTTATCAATGGTCTTATCTAGGATCCAAATATCTTTAAAAGTATCCACAATCATACAATTAAAAATCCTCCACCTCATAATAGGATGCAAGAATTCTGCTCCATTCATAATGATTTTCCAGGTTGAAGAGTAACAGCTTTTGGTAGGTACGTTCCATAAATCATTTTCATATTTGGATCTTAAAACTCTATTGAGAAGAGAGTTAGGATTTTTAATAAAATAAAGAGCAAACTTAAATCTCAAAGGCCCCAATTTATCCACCAGTGATTGTAAACCATAGCCTCCTTTATTCTTCGGTTTACACATGATGTCCCAAGTAACATAGTGCATTCCATAGCTTCCATCCCTTTTATTCCAAAGAAAATCTCTACACATTTTCTCCACTTCATACAAAACTCCCAAAGGAATTAGTGAGTGGTTAGAAAGGTATATAGGTAGTGAGAGGACTGAAGCGTTGATTAAGCTAATTCTACCTGCAAGAGAAATAAATTTAGAACCCCAAAGGTTCATTCTAGCCGCTGTTTTCACAATGAGATTGTTGAAATCTGCTTTGACCAATCTTCTAAGAGCAATCTTCACTCCCAAGTATTCCATCTCATTTACCACTTTCATCTTGAGGATATTGGCAAGAGATCTACAATTCCTCTTTTTGACAGATTTACCAAAAAGTATAGCTGACTTGAGAAGTTTACTTTTTGGCCGGTCCATTTATAATAATTTTTCATAATTTTGTCAACTTTTTTCAAGCATCTTCTATTAGCTCTAGTGAAGATCACAATGTCATCAGCATACATAAGGTGAGAAATCATAGGGGCATTAGGATTAATTTTGACACCAATCCCTTTCCCTCTTCGATCAAATTCTTCAGTCAATAATTGGGAACACAAGATAAATAGGTAAGGAGACAATGGGCATCCTTGTCTAAACCCATAGTTGGCCTCTATCCACTTTGAATTTCTTCCATTGATCATTATAGAATATTTAGGATTAGTAACACATTCCATAATTAGTTTTGAAAATTTATTTGGAAACCCAAACCAATCAAGAACCTTTTCCAATGTAGACCAACACATACTGTCATAAGCCTGTTCCATATCAACTTTGATAGCCACAAATCCTTTCTTCGCTTTAGAATGTCTAAACTTGTTAAACAATTCTTGTGCAAGCAATATTTGATCTGACATTGATCGTCCCTTTATGAAAGCATTTTGCACTTTAGAGATGATTTTGGGAAACAAGAAACTCATTCTGTTTAAGATCATTCTCGCTACAATCTTATAAATGGCATTACACAAGCTTATGGGACGGTAGTTAGAAGGTATCAAAGGAGTTTCAACTTTGGGAATTAATACCACATTAGTCTCTTTCCATCCAGGACATAGAGAACCAGATACAAAAAAATCATTGATTGCTAACCTCATGCTTGATAATTGACCAATAAGACTTAATAAAAGAATAAGTGATACCATCAATACCTGGTGATTTATTGGCTCCCAAATTTGTTATGACTTCCTCCAATTCTTCTTTAGAGAATTCTTTACATAAAAGTTTGCAATCCTCCTCATCCAGCTTCTTAGAAGTGTGCGGCCATCCTTCCAATCTGCAGTTCCTTAATCTCCATTTACTTTTAAAGAAATTGAGAAAAATTTCTTCAATGTTCTGCTGGTCTTCACACCCTAATCCTATTTGAAATTCAAATTAGGACCAATTATTTTTCCCTCCCCTTGCATAAAAACAGAAATAATTTCAGTTTTTGAACTCCCTCTCTCCCTCTCTTCCTACCGCCGGCTCCCCTTGGCATCACCCTAATTAATTTTCCATTAATGTCTTAATTGCATTCAATTGGAATTTCAAACCTCATGTATTTTCCCTCCCAAATCTCTTAGAATTGAAATTAATTTCAGTTCTCAAACAAAGCCCTCCTCCCCTCATCCTTGCTCTACCGCCGGCCTCCCCATCCCCTCTCCAACCCGCCGCGCCTCTCTCCCTCCCATTGGAGAGCCTCTCGCGGAGACCACCCATTCTCACCTTCAAGAATGCATGGAGGAACCCGAGTGGAACTTCAGGTTTGAGTATGACAACCAAGGAAAGGTTGACATCCTCAAATCACCATTCTTCGACGTAGGCTTTGATTTCGATGACACCGTCGAAGAATATTTGGATCGGATTCTACCAACACTAGTGGATTCCATCGACGACCACTTTTCCGTCTACATGTGGATCATTAAAGGTCATCCTCCCGTGCCACCTCCACCTCCGAGCTCCTTCCCCGTGGCGACAATCATTGGCTCCTCCCTCCTCGTGGCAACCTCACTAATAGCTTGGACGATCTTCCGCCGCTCAACCTAGTTCGTAGGAAAGAGAGAAGATGTCTCAAGGTGAACAACTCCTTATTAATTGTTGGATTTAATTCACTAGCTTTTAACTTTACTTTTTTCTTTGCATTGGCTTAAATCGCTCGGTCAATTTTCATTGTAATTCTTTAACCTAAGCAAAGTGGAACTCTACGAATTCTTGTAACCAATTTTAATGTGAAGCGTGACTTTATAAACGGTTAAGCTCTTACTTAATTTCCTTTTCTTTAATCATGTGTAACTCAATTCATGCATCACATCAGATAACTTCCACAGTATTCACCTTCATACTATCTTCTAACACCTTTCCTGCCATACCAACTGAGTTATCTGCCTCTTTTGTGTTTACATTATCCATCCTCTGCTTGCTGGTAATTCTCTGAGCAGGGAACTTATTACTAGTTCCTCTATATCCTCTATTGTTTTTATTATAATTAACAAGGATCCATGGACGATATGTAGAGTTTCTGTTCATCCCCTTCATACCTTGGATATCTACCTTATCTTTGGTACCTTCAGTCACCTGATCTTTGAGCAATGGTTTAGACTTCTTGCATTCCATCTTCACATGCCCAATCATACCACAATCAAAGCAAAATGACGAGATTTTTTCGTATTCAACATTTTGAAAAAATCTTCCCGCCATACTATCCACCCAAACTCCTAATGGAAGAGGTTTATCCAACTTCACACGAACACAGATTCTCGCAAATTCCCTTCTTCCCCATTGAAACATATTACCATCAAGCATCATTGGAACTCCTACCATAGAGGCTATCCTTGCCACATTTACCTTGTCCCAACATTGCAAAGGCAATTGAGGTAGTCTAATCCAGACTGGGGAGGTTAGACCCTTCAATGATGATGGAGAAAAACCAGGGGTCCATTTTTCCATACCAACAATATGGCCATTGACAAACCAAGGGCCTCCTGATATAATTTCCTCAAAAGCTTCTTCTCTTTTGAATGAGCATAAAAACCACCCCATACCTAAGGAAGTGAAATGGAATTGACCATATTGAGCCCATTGCCTCCTCAATTCCCAAGCCACTATATGAGGAGGGATGTCCTTTCCAAAGATTTTTGCTACCAGTGAGTTGTGAAGGATTTTAGCATTTTCATCCTCAATAGCTTCATCCAATTTTACAGCCATACCGTCTTCTGATAAGAAACTATCAGTTTCATTAAAACTCAATTTAATATGAACTTTTTTCCTCCACGGGTTTAACTTATTCCCATCTTCCATAAGCAAGTTATCAAACATCTGACCTGCAACTTCTCACTCTTCTAAAACAGAGTCAATTCTATCTACCTTTGGAATTTCATCAACCGAATTACGAAAATTAATGTTAGCAAATGACTTGGAATTCGCATTTATCTTATTGCCAACAGCAGGGATTGCATTTGAATTGCCGAATCTACTAACGATAAGATTCATACTCGAAGCTGAAGCTTCATTGTCATTATATTTTAATGGAGATAATACAGCAGATTTCTTCAGACTCGGTGTTTTACAGTCAGCTACGGTCGAAACAGACTTACCTTTACCTTCAACGAATAATTTCTTTTCAGCAACTGGAATAACACCTTCATTAATGATAAGAGCTCCTGAAGATCTCCTTCTAGCCATCTCTTCATTTCTTCCAATCAGACCACCATCATTAATTACCGAATCCCCTACCACTTGAGCGATCTTACGTTTATCTTCTTCATGAGTTGCCTCATCCATCACGTCCGACAGCCGGCGGAGTTCCGCCGCCATCCTCAATCAGCTGCACTGATTACGGGATAAACTGGGAATGGTGGAAATTTTGAAAAAAAAACGAGTCTTTCTCTCTCTAAAAAACGAGTCTTACTCTAGAAAACGACAGTTATTACTTCACATTAGATGTATCAGCAGCAAATGATAATGCATAACCCATTCACAGGTTTGTTTGACTAGATCAAGATGTCCACAAGCGGTGTAAGAGGATGATGTCTTTAATAGTTCCTTATTTGTTAGGATAATAATAAGCGGCCATCAAAGTTACTTTTCCCTTTGAAACAATATATGAAAAAGAAAATTAAAAAAACCAGGACAATCTCATTAACAAAGTTTTCTGGTCCGTCCCGAGCATGAAGAATAAAATATGAAATATGGAAATTGTAGCATACTTGTCTCAGTTTTTTTCCAATATTACTAAGAAAAGATCACAACATAGGCCCGTTGTCCATGAAGGAAATGATCTCTTTAATTAATCATATAGCAAGCTGCAGGAGGGTACTGAGTAAAGCAGCGGAATAATTAAGGGAAAAGAAAAAGGTAAAGAGATTTGATAGAAAGATGGAGGTACAAACATTGATAAGAAATATGAAAGAATTCGACACTTTAATGCCATCCCTCAAAATGTTACAACAAATGAGATTCGACAACTTGTTTGGGAGAAATTCCCTTTATGGAAAAAGAACCAATTTACTCTTCAGTGCAGTTTTCAAGAATCACCTCTGACTGATCGATGTCATTCTCCAGCATCCTATTCCAGTTGTGTTTAAGTCGCCTGCAACTAATCCCATGATGGAATCTTAATCCTTTGGCCACTATATGATCATCATCTATATTCAACAAGCTTCTAATGCAGTTCTTTGTCAGGATTCCCTACAGCTCTTAAGAAAAAAACTCACACATGATTCTGCTCTCTTTCTAGTTGAACTATTCATTCTCTTTCTTGTTAAACTATTCATACTCCTACCAACCTAACAATGTTTTTCATTGAGTATGTATTGTCAATTGAAATTTGAAAGATCAACAAAGGGCTCCTATCTTTTTGGGATTCACCAAAATGAGAGAGATGTTCAAGAGGTATTTTTCAAATGTTCTCGTTAGAGGCTCGTAAATCTTTGGAGCGAATATTGAATTACTAAGAGGTAATTTTTTGTAGGTCTAGGCGTGGGCCTTTCTAATTCTCACTTACGTGAAAGACAATCCGCTCTTATGCTGACCTTGATTATTATGTAGAAGCACAAATTACTACCACCAAGGCCGTCAGGGCACATCGAAAACAATTCGAATAATCCTCCAACAAACATATGAATACTCAATATTTTATGCTAACATCCTAATGAAGAAAGAATGAGTATTCAAGGGATCAAAGAGATCCTTCCCACCAAATTTAGCATGTCATATGATTACACTCCATTGAACACAGCCAAAATTAATTTTCTAATGAAAATATTCAAATTTTGAATATCTAAAATGGCCAAGACCATAAAAAAATCCAAGTGGTAGATATCAATCACAATATTATTATTTCCACCGTCCAAGAATACATTCAACCAAAAGATATATTTACCTAAAATAAGATATTTAACATTTAGTTTGCCAGCCACACTGGTAATTATTTACAAGAGCAATATGTGGATCATTATTAGCCTCAAAATAAATAAGACCAGAAGAGTCATGGTAATAAAATTATTAAAATTATTGAACAAGAGTGTCATCATAATTAATTTGCTCTCATACACAAGATGATCTTATAGCTGAAGCAATCCAAAGAAGTTGGGCCCTTCATCTTATTAGAAGTTTTTTAAAAACTTTACAACCCCTAGAAGGTATGCCTATGAGATAGCATTGACGAAAAACTAGTAGTAAGCATGGTCCTCACTAGAAAGATCAAATGAGAGCAAGTGGTTGATAGAGTTTCCACTCAAAGCCCCTGGAAGATAAGCCCATGAGATAATCTTGATAGAAAGTTAGTATGAGAACAAATAATTGATAGGCTCTCCATTCATCTAAAAATTTAAAAAGTCATAAATATCAAAAGATGCATGTTATTCAAAAAGTCCCAAAAAGTATAAACCTCAGAAGATACAGATTTTTATAAAAATCTCATAAAACATATGTCTCAAAAGATTTAAGTACATCAAATCTTAAAAGGTGTAAGATTCTAAAGGTACAGGCACTCTGAAAATCTCAAAAAAGAAAAACATTAAAAATACAGGCACATCAAAATCTCAAAATATACAAAATTTTCAAAAGATCTCAGAAGATGCCTTACATGGTATATAATTTTCAAAAACTTTAGAAAGCATAAGTCACAAAAGATATACTGTCTATTCATCAAGAGATACCAAAGACATAAGTTGATTTTGAAGCCTTTAAAAAAATCATAATATTGGATAAATCTTTAGAGATCAAGGCTGCTATATTCGAATTGAGGGGCAATATCTTCTTATTTCTAACCCATTGACTCAATTATGATATGTTGGATTTCTCACAGAATATAAAGATTTTAAATACATCTCAAAGATATTTAGAGGGGGCTTAGTCTCCTCTTGAGGAGCATGCCCTTAAAAATTAGTTTTCTACCCATGGTTCATCCCACACTTCTTCCTCATCTGTTAGAGTTGATCATTCATTATCATAGAGAAGTGAAGGATATGATTCAAAGAAAAGAAAATGAGTTGCCAGTAGTGCTTTAGAGAAGGCTTTTAACATGCAGCAGCGAGAGGAATTGGATGGTGAAATTGCAAGGATGTTTTTTTCAGCTGTATTTCCTTTCAACCTTGCAAGAAATCCTAATTACAAAAATGCATTCACTTTTGCATATAATAACAACCTTGCAGATTATGTTCCACATGGCTATAATGTATTAAGATCAAAATTATTGGAAAAGGAAAGAGCACATATTGAAACATTGCTTGAACCAACAAAAGGCGTGTGGAAAGAAAAAGGAGTCATTTCAATGTGTGGTGGTTGGACCGATCCTCAAAGAAGACCACTCATTAATTTCATAGCCGTTACAGAGAATTGTCCAATATTTATTAAAGCTGTGAATTATGAAGGAGAATACAAGGATAAATATTTCATTGCCAATTTGATTAAAGAGGTGATAGTCATTTTTGGGCCTTCAAATATTGTACAGGTTATAACAGATAATGCACTAGTGTGTAGAGCTGCAGGATTGTTGGTGGAGCAAATTTATCCTCATATATTCTGGACTCCATGTGTTGTGCACACTTTAAATCTTGCTCTAAAAAATATTTGTGCAGCAAAGAATACAGAAGCAAATGAAATCATCTATGATGAATGTCATTGGAAAACACTGATAGCAGATGATACTATTTTCATTAGAAATTTCATTATGAACCACTCAATGAGACTTTCAATGTTTAATGATTTCTCACATTTAAGAATATTAGCTGTTGCTGAAACTCGTTTTGTCTCTGTAATAATCATGTTGAGAAGATTCAAACAAATAAAAAATGCTCTTCAATCTATTGTGATTAGTGAGAAGTGGTCTTGCTATCGAGAGATGATGTTGGGAAGGCAAGGTATGTGAAAGAAAAAAGTTTAGATGATTTCTGGTGGGATGATGTAGATTACATTTTGGCTTTCACTGGTCCAATTTATGATATGTTGAGAGAGGCTGACACAGATAAATCATGCTTACATTTGATTTATGAGATGTGAAACTCTATGTTAAAAAAATTGAAAGATATTATATACAGACATGAAAGAAAGTCACATAATGAAGGCTCAAAATATTGGAGCATTGTCTATACCATTCTTGAGGATAGGTGGACCAAAAGCAACACACCTCTGCATTGTTTGTCCCATTCATTAAATTAAAGGTACATTCGTATTCATCTTTTAAATGAATTTTAAATTTCTTGATAAATAAACAAATAATTTTATATGATTTGTATTATTTTAAGGTATTCAAGTAAAGAATGACTTCAAGAAGACCCTCAACGTATCTCATCACAAAAAGATTTAGAAGTGTCAAATATGAGAAAGATATACTTGAAACAATATTTTCCAAATGAGGAGAGAAGAAAAATTAATATAGAACTTGCAAAGTTCTTTGGATAATTAGAGGATTTTGGTGATTAAGAATTTTTGGTTGATAGATGAAGGATGGATCCAAAAATGTGGTGGTTGATTTATAGAGCTTCAACACCGCTTCTTCAAACCATAGCAACAAAACTTATTAGTCAAGTATCATCATCTTCTTGTTGTGAGAGAAATTGGAGCACATATTCATTTATTCAATCAATGAAGAGGAATAAAATAAATTCACAACGGGCTAAAGATTTAGTTTATGTGCATACAAATCTTCGTCTTCTATCAAGAAAAACCCCACTTTATATGACAGGTGATAACAAGATATGGGATGTTACTGGATATGGATTTGAGTGCCTTAATGATATGGGATTATTGAAGGTTGCAAATCTTTCTCTAGATGAACCAGAGTTGGAAGCAATGATATTCAATGATGATGATATTGAAGGCCAAAGACCAACCTCTGAATCTAATTATATCATTCCCTCTATTGAGTAGTTGGACTTTCATGTTGTACTAAATGATTTTTTGCTTATATTTTTGTGGTTGTACTAGATATTTTGTAGTAACATCTTTATGTTATAAGCTAAACAAGTTATCATGACTTTGATTTATTATTGCTTGTCATTTTTAATATAATATTACCTTAATTTTTATATATTATATTAAAAAATTATTATGTTGTGTCCACGCCGCACACGTGTCATATATTTTTAAAAAATGTCATGTCCCGTGTCCGTGTCATGTCCGTGTCGCCGTGTCCATGTCGGTGCATCATAGATACAACTCAAAAGGAAATATCTAAACAATCCCTACATTCAGTTTCCCTCCTAAATTCACCAAAAAATCCTTCCTAAATTGCTCTTTGAAGAGTGGATGGTCGGCTCCTACATACAGGAGGCAGAGAATTCCGCCCCTTGTCACGTGAGCCGGTCCACACGGGACCGACTGGACCGATCCAACTGACTGGTCTAACAATACTCTACTCCCAAAAATCCACCTTGTCTACAAGGTGGAAAGACGACACCCTCCTCCATTTCCTTCTTCATCACAAACAGTAAAAACCTGAAGAGTTCGGTCCTTACAAATATGCCCTGGTGTACACCTCTCATCACATCTAAAACAAAGTCCCTTCGCCCTCTTTCATGTAATTTCGTCTCTGTGAGCTTCTTGAAGTTGTCACCAGATCTTCCTCCTGCAGTCTTTTCCTTCGAAGTCCCCCTAAGAGTATCCGGTGTTGGCTCCTTGGATATCAATAAGGTGGTGGTCATCTTGTACATGCCTCTTGAGTTGTTGCCTCCTGTCTCTCTTTCAAGGTGCCTCTGATCCTCTACCAATTGAGCTAGCTCCATAGCCTCTCCCAAGTCACGAGGCCTCATTATTATAACCGCTATTTGGATCTATGGTGTCAATCCCTTTATAAAGTTCCCCTCTAGCATTGTCTCAGAATGGCAGTCCAATCGACTGGCAAGGTACTCGAACATCTCCTGGTACTCTATCACTGAACCATCCTATGCCAAGGCGAAGAACTGCTTGTAAAAGTCTCCACCCCTGCCGGTTCGAAAATGTTCTATTAAACAATCCTTGAACTCCCTCCAACTCCATGTGGGTCGTCACATGTCCCTCCACTAGTACCAAGCCAAAGCTTTCCCTTCCAAACATAGGCTTGCTGCCATCAATCTCTCCTCTGTCAACCCATTGACGACAAAATATCTTTCAACCTTATAGATCCACCTGTGCGCATCATCCACCTCAAAGATTGGCATATTCAATTTCTCACCCTCGGATCGCCTCTGTTCCCTCTGTTTCCTCCATACTTTCCCATTCCCCAAGGGGGTGGTTTCCCCCAAGTGTCCTAATCATCCCTTCTACGTTCATACCCAAGCATTTCATCAAATTCCTACCTGCTCCTTTCAAATTCAACACCCCTTAGATCATCACAAACTCCTCTTTCCAATTCAACCCTCCTTTGGTCAAAATTCCCTCTTTCCCTCTCAAATTCAGCACCTTCCACTCATGTCCAACCCCCTCACGCTTCCCCCACATACCCTCTACAGACTCCTTACTAAGAATAGGTCCTCCTAGGGGAGGCCTTTTTTCTGTTCCCTCCAAAATCTCCACCTCTTGATCTTCCTTTTGTCTGATTGACTTTGGATTTTCCCCACTTCCGTGGCTGTCGGCGCCTTCCCTCACCTCCGACGGCGATATTTTGGTTAGTCCCTAGAGCACTTTCTTCAACATCTCCTCCAAGATGGAAAAATTCAAATCAAACTTATCATGGATGGCCAAAACATCTTTTTTAAAATCTGAGACTTGAGTCTGGAAATCTGAAATTTTAGATTTCATTTGTCCAAATCTCCACTTCGATGCATTCCTCCAACGCATCCATTTTTTTGGCCGCCATTGATGCTCAAATTTTTGTAGAAATAAAAATCTGGACTTCAACCTTAAAAAACAGCAACTTCTTCGAAATCCTAAGAACAACCACTTAAATTCACCAAAACAGCCCACTGAAAGTCCCAAAAATAGCTTTGATATCAATTTGATAGGAAACAATTTAAGATTTCAAGTAAATCTTATCAATTTCAGAAAAACAATGAGAAAACTCTTCCAAACTTCAAAGGAAATATAAGAAAAACAAGAATTTTATTGTGATTTTCAAACTAACGGAAGAAAAATAACAAGATATAATTGATTCTCAATTCAAGAGGAGGAACGATCTCTCCCAAATCTCTAGACACCGCTAGAGCCCAAGGAAAACCTAAGAGATCTCAAATTTTAGCCAAATTCAAGATGCCCTAACCCTAGGAAAAACGAACTATTTAATGCATACAATTCAAAAGGAAATCTCTAAACAATCCCTACATTCAATTTCCCTCCTAAACTCCTCCAAAAAATCTTCCTAAATTGCTCCTTGAAGAGTGGGTGGTCGGCTCTTGCGTACAGGATGTGGAGAATTCCGCCCCTTTTCGCGTGAGCCGGTCCACACGGGACCGGCTAGACCGGTCTAACAAATTTCTCTTTAAATCAAGCATTTGTGGATTGAATCTTGATTCTATGTGCATGACTAGATTTGCAATAGAAAATTCTATACCCTGGTTCATCTTACGTAGGAATGAGATTTGATCATGCCAAAAAATATCATAAAATTAGAAGCAAGGGACAAGCAAAGGAAAGAGCATGTCTTAATTAAGAAAGATCAAATTCTTATGAGGTCAATAAGATCCAATCCGCCATTTCTTCAATAATCGATAGAAAATTTGTTTACGTTGAAGGATTGATTTTAAAAAAAAAGGGAAGACAAATGGAACAAAAATAGTTACTGAAAGAGCATTTAGTTTAGAATCTAGTGATCAATTGCACGAAGAGAAAACTCATATGTTCTATTAAAAAATCATAACAATAGGGTTTTTTGCTAGGGTTTTTTTTCGCCCTAGCCGATTTTTTTGCTCCTGACTCCTGCTTCCCGCTCTCTTCTCCCGGCAAGGCCGGGAGATCCCCCCACCTCCGATGGCTAACCTCTCTTCTCCTGAGGAGTTCCCACCTCTCTCTTCTAAGAGTATTTTGCCTCTCCCTGCGACTACTCTGACCTACAGAAATATTGTCGCAACTCCGAGATCTGGTAAGGCTTTTGTGCTTTCTTCTTCCTCTCCGCCAGAAGATCCTTTGGATTTTAACGAAGCACATGTACAAGTCGCGAAGGAGGAATGGGGCTTGTCGTTGATTGGTTACTCCATAGGTAGGCGGCCCTTCTACGAATCACTACTTTCTGCCATCCGTAAGGTATGGAAACTCAAAGGTACGATGAAATTGCTCTCCCTAAGCGATGGTTTTTTTATGCTGAAATTTTCGTCGCATGAAGATTACGACATGGCCTTGGCTGGCGGTGTGTGGTTTTTTTTGGGGAAGCCGTTTGTACTACAAAAATGGGTCCCTAATTTTAAGCCAGTTAGAGAAGAATTCACTTCAGTTCCTATATGGTTTAAAATTCTTGATTTGCCTCTCCCCTGTTGGACTCCGGAAGGAATTTCACGTATAGCAAGCAAGGTGGGAATACCATTGGCTGTGGATGATTTAACGGCAGAAAAATCTAGACTTACATATGCTCGTGTCTGTGTTCAGGTCTCAAAGGATTGTGTCTATCCTGAAATTATTCCCATTACCATCTTAGGAGAACCTTTTTCTCTAAAAATACAATATGAGTGGAAACCAGAGCCTTGCGTGCACTGCGGTTCAATTGTGCATATTCCAGATTTCTGTCTATCCAAGCCTCCTACCCCTCCAGCTGACACCCAACCTCCTCCGCGTGGTAGGAGCTCAAGTCGCAGGCCCCCCAGGCCCTTTAACAAAAATGCCACAAATCAGCCACAGCAAATTCTGACTCAATCCGCTGCTTCTACTTCTCAGCAACCTCCAGAAAAAAACGCAATCTCAAAACAACATTCGCCTGCTGTTGACCTTCCCCCCCCTTTCCACCCGCCTGTGGTTGTCATTCCTTCTCAAACTATCTCAGCTGAAGCATCAGTTACTGTCATCCCTAATCTGAACTCGCCTACGGAAGAACTTCCTAGTTCTAGCATCACTATCCCCCCTAGGCAGCAAGATAAGGTATTATCCCCAAATCGTTTTGAACTCTTACAAGAAGGCACTAAGGAGCAGATGCCTCCTTCCACCTCCTCATCACAACGGGAAACTACTCAAATACCAGCCCAACCTCAGACAAAAGCTTCCAGGAGCAAGCAATCAAAAAAAGCTCCTAATCAATCTTCAAAATCCCAATGACTACACCCCGTCTTGCGGCTTGGAATGTGCGAGGTTTTAATAGCCCGGATAAGGTATGGGCTTGCAAACAGCTTGTTCACCAGCACCATTTAGAGTTATTTTCTGTTTTGGAAAACAGGATTAATGAATCCAGTCTTTTGAATCCTTGGTTTTGCTCCAACCATCGGATTTTTGACAATGAAGATAGCTGCCATAACTTCAATCTTGCTAAACCGGGAAGGATTTGGATCAAATGGGATCAATCTTTGATTCAATTTAAACCTTCCACTTCCACCTCGCAAATGATTTCTGGTGACCTTTATAAGGGGGATGATATCCTTGCGGTTTTGTCAGTTGTATATGCTTCTAATTCTCAAGCGGAAAGAATTAACCTTTGGGATGATCTTAGAGTTATTGGGAGTCATATTTCTTCCCCTTGGTTAATACTTGGTGACTTCAATTGTTGCCTTTGTCCCGAGGAAAAATCCGGTGGCTCCATCCTTCTTCCTTCTCAAATTTGGGACCTCAAATCTCTTATTTTCGACATGGGCTTACTTGATTTGGCTTCTACTGGTTTGCAATACACTTGGTTCAATCAAAGGGCTAATGATCCAATTCATTTGAAGTTAGATAGAATGTTGATCAATGATAAGTGGTTGGAAAGTTATCCTCATTCCTACTATGAAGTTCTGAATCCTTCTTGCTCGGACCATTCACCTATTGTCTTGTTCACAGGACATTCTGTTATGCACAAGCATAGATTTCTTTTCAAAAATTTCTGGACCAAACAGGACAGGTTTTGGTCTGATTTACTAAGCATTTTTGCTCAACCGATTCATGGGAATCCTATCCATGGGCTATATTTCAAACTTAATAAACTCAAACAGAACATTAAATTGAAGGATTGGGCTAGCTCTTCTCTCCTCTCTGCCAAGCTTTCTTCTCTTAAGGAACATCAAGCCATTTGTCTTGACAAAATAAATGAAGATCCTCTAAATCCTTCTCTGAATCAGACCCTTAAATGTATCAATGCTCAAATTCTAGAATGCTCTTCCTCTTGGACTAATTGGGTGCTGCAACGTGCTAAACTGAAATGGCTTTCTCAAGGGGAGGACGATCTTAAATTTCTATATGCGAGGATCAGGAAGAGAAGGAATCATAGCACTTCACCGTTAGTTGCTAATGCGGATCCTATTGTCAGGAAGGACCTGATCTCTTCTATTATTCTTCATTTTGAAAGGCTATTTAATGCTCCTACTCCTGACTCTTTGGGGGACTCCTCATCCATTCCTCATGGTAAGGTTATGCCTTTTCATTTAGCTGCTTTACTTACTGTGTCTGTTTCAGATGAAGAAATTAAAGCAGCAATTTTCAATGGAAATTCTAACTCAACCCCCGGACCTGATGGATTCAATTTCGAGTTCTATAAAGCCACTTGGTTAATGAGTTAATCACTGGCCCTCTCGTTTGCAAAGCAGTGAAATCTTTTTTCTCGAAGGGTTATTTTCCCAACAAAGTTAAAGCAACAGCTATTGCATTGATTCCCAAATCTTCTCATGCCTCTGGTATATTGGATTTCCGTCCTATTGCACTTTGCAATGTTTTTTACAAGATTATTTCTAAAATCTTGGCTTCGAGAATGAAGGATATTATGCCTACTATCATAGGGGATAACCAAGCTGGTTTTATTAAAAATCGCATTGCTACTGATAATATCTTGCTTGCTTCTGAACTACTTATGGATTTTAAAAAATCATCTAAAAGAAAACTGTTGTGTGCCAAACTGGACATTCGTAAGGCCTTTGATTCTATTTCTAGAGACTTCATTTTGGAAAGAATGCGCCATAAAGGTTTCCCTAATACCTTTATCCAATGGATTAAAGCCTGTATTTCGGATGTCCATTTTTCAATCTCTATAGATGGTGCTCTTGAGGGTTATTTCCTATCCACATCTGGGATCCGACAAGGCTGTCCCCTGAGCCCCTACTTATTCTGTATTGCTATGGATGCGTTCTCTTGTATGATTGATAAATCCCCTGGTCCTGACAATTTCATTGGTATTAAAGTGAAGGATATGCAAATCTCTCATTTACTCTACGCAGACGATTTACTCATTTTCGGTGAAGCCACGACTGCTAACTGTGAAGCCCTTCTAGTTGTCCTTGACTCTTTTGCAAAGATTACTGGTTTATTAGTTAACCATGATAAGAGCAAGCTTATTTTATCTGCTTCCATTGCCAATCCCTCTACTGTTTGTGAAGCTCTTCATATTCCTATTACATGTGCTAAGATGAATTATCTGGGTATTCCCATAGCAGCTAAAAAGCTTGGAATTGTTGATTTCCAACCACTTTTGCAATCCATTTCCAGGCATTTGGAGGGCTGGAAAGCCAGACTTTTATCTTTTGCTGGGCGTCTTCAATTCCTTAAATATACGGTTTGCAACACTATATCTTATTGGATTAGGGGGTCCGTTTTACCTAAATCTTGCATTAAAAATCTGAACCGGTTATGTTCTAGATTTCTTTTCTTTGGTGATGTGGAGGCTAGGAAATTGCATCTTATTGCTTGGAGGAATACTTGCAAACCTAAAATGTTTGGTGGGTTGGGTATAATGGATCTTCAAGCCATTCAATTTGCCAACCATTGTTCTCTGTTATTCAGATTTTATAATTCTAAGTCCATTCTCTTCTCTTATTGGAACACTAAATATGGTACCCCTTGGACTCCTATTAATCTGAAAGCCTCTGTTCTTTGGCGGGAAATTGGGAATGTGGCAAGACTGATTTCGTCTAGCATTCTTTTTGAAATTAACATCAATAGCAATATTGCGATGCTTTGGGATCCTTGGTTTCAGGGCCGATCTCTAATGTCTGCTCTTCCTAATTGCAATTTACAATCGGTTATTCCTAATCATGCTAAGATCTCTGATTACTGGATTGAGGGGACTTGGGCATTTCCGAGCACTGTACATGATGTATTATCTCAGTTACTTGGGCAAATTAGTATGAATCGAGATTCTAAGTATTTTATTTGCTGGTCTGATAAAAACCTGCCATCTTTCTCCTCATTTACCAATTATTATTACCGGGAAAATCCAATCACCGAATGGCATTCTCTAGTGTGGCACAAGCATCATGCTATTAAGTACTCATCTTACACTTGGATTGCGCTTAATGGTGGCTTAAAGACAGCGGAGGAGCTTATTAAAAGAAATATTGCTGTGCAACCTATATGCTTTCTTTGCTCTTCTCATAATGAGTCCAATTCTCACATTTTGTTTGAATGTGATTATTCTTTTGCTGTTTTAAAAAAATTGATCCCTGCTGTGGGGGATTTCCTCCTGAGACCTAAGCTAATACAAGTTCTACACTTTTTGGGGGAGAGAAGTTATATGCTTAAAAATCATAGAGAATTTGTTCTCCTTTCGGTATGCTGTGCTACATATTATCTTTGGAGGGAAAGAAACGAGAGGAGATTCAACTTTAAGTTTAGAAGTGTTTCAACTTTGTGCTATATTATTAAAAGAGCTGTAGAGGAGAAGGTATCCTCTTGGAAGTATCATGACAATTTGCGCATCCCATGGCCCTCTTGAACTTGGTTTTTCTTTTGCCTGCTCTTTCATGGAAATTTGTTATCAGGTGGATGTTATTTTTCTATGGCTATGTCATTTCACAAGCATGAAGTTGTTGAATTTTTTCTGTTTGCTCGGGTTAAGCAAGATTTCTGGAAGCTTTCAACTTGGATACATGGATTCTGTCTTTTGGGTTTTTTGCTGGATTTTGCTTTCGGTCCAGAGCAGCAGCTCACAATTGCCTTGCCCTTGGACGGCTTTCAGCAACCAGGACAGGTTTAAAGATGAAGGACGATGATGTAGCTGCTAATCATCTCCTTGGAGGGCTTCTTGGGCAACCAGCAGATCTTTGCACGGTTTAGCTGGTATTCATTTTGTTCTGCGATTAGCAGTCTGAGTCCAATTTTGGGTGCTCTAAAAATTTTATATTTTGTGAGCTGTTGTTGTTTTTTTGCTTTCTTGTTGTTACTTTTTGGAGCTTTTGGGAGGTATAGGTTTTTGGTTAATCCTCCTCTTATTTGAGGATTAATCTTTTTATTATACCTTACTTGTAACCTTTTTTACATAGTAATATATGGGCTACCTATTTGATTATATTTTTACATTGTTAGTTATGTATAAACAAAGATCACTATGCATGCTTACACATCCTTCAATGCCACCTATACATAATGGAGCTCCGGGTATATATAAATGAATAAGTAGTTGCTCCTTTACTTATTTCATGGAAGAAGTCCCAAAGCCTGTTTTAGACGAATATGTGTTTGGAGAATTCCGGTAATGTTTGGACTCCTTGTAATGCAGTTATTTGCAACTATGATTAATTGAATACTAGTGTTGTAGCTAATCCTTTCTGATATTGCCTAAATTTGTACCCCAGAAAGAATTTAGGTGTAAACCTGAGTACAGAAGGATACAGTTATTTTCTAAATTTTGAGAGGAGCCCAGAGACGACCCAGTTCTCAGAGACATGTTCAACTGGACATTAGAAAGTCCGGGCAGAGGCTCAAATTGGATTGGAGAGCCGGCGTTGGGCAGATTTGAGTTCGCTGCCTTGGCTACCTAACCGGAGTTTATAAAAAAAATGAGAGAGTAGAATAAACAGAACAGAGCCTCTGGACTGCGGCGGTTCATTAGGAAGCCTCTCTTTACTAACAAACAGGTGGATCTCTAACCTCAATACAGAACCTATGGGCGGCGACTGTAAAGTGTTTGGAATTGGTTTTATTACATATATTTTAAAATGTATGTCATAGTACTAAAGCATTAACCAAATTTTCAGAAAAGCGCACCTGGGTCGGAAGAGCCAACACCATTGGAAGCTGCATACAAGAACTCATCAACATCAAGCCGCCACCAGCACAGTGGAAGTTGAATGAGAAATCTAAGAAGCTAGATGTGAGTAAAATTTTTATGAATTTTTTAGTAATAAAAATTTATTTAATAAAACTATTTGTAACTTGCAGGATGATATTCTTCGAGTTTAGAGAAAAGTAGGCAGTCCACGGCCGAGTACGAATCATCTTCTTGGATTCGGCCCCATACCTTCTGAGTATCAGACATGGTCAAAGTTGTTGGCTTGGAAGACCAAGAGGGCGGAGGGTAATAGTGGTTGCATGGGTTCCAAGCTTTTGCTTATTGAGGGCAGTCTCATAACAACCTTCTGCATACATCCTATTGATTCCCATTGGAGCTAAGATCTAGGGTTGAAGTGAGAGGGATTGCAGACACTTATCTAGAGACATTTGAAGAGAATGAAAAAGGAGTTCAAGTAGACGCAGATTGCAAGACAATGAGGATAGGCTGCAGCAATGACATACACAGACAGTTGGTTATGCTATCCATCATCAGTACGATAAGTGGGGAGCAACAGAGAAGAGGAAGAACTAACCATTACGGCAGTGACGACAGCCCATCTGAACTAGAAAATCGATGAGAATACTAAGATTGATGGTATAATACGTATGATTTATTACTAGGTAGTTTTTTCGTGAGTATGATGTATAAACATTTTAGGAAAATTTTTTGGATCTTGTTGTAATGCGTTGGTTGGTTTATCAGCACAATCCAAAATTATCCTGTAGCCTTCAAAATTACTAAAGAGAAACCCGCAAGTCAACAAGAACGACCGTATTATCACACAAAGAAGTATATCAGGTTTCCTGCTTGTCTATCTTCCCACGCTCAAATTTTATTACAAAAATATCAAGAGAAGCTGTAAGTGGGAGGATATTTCTGCCTGATATACCTGAGTAGGAACCCTCAAAACAAGACCAAACCCTAAAAAGAATAAATGGAGAGTGATGTGAATTATCTATCGTAACTCAATTTGGGTGTAGACATAATTGTGAATATGTACATCGTTATAAGTTAGTTGAAAAGATAATGATTTCTTCGTGTATATATGAGTTTCATAATTATCATAGGTTGCCACATTACAATAGATATAGAGCAGTGTAGCGTCCCCACTATATCACCACTTATTCAAAAGAAAGCGAGGACTATTTTGTTGCGAAGTTATCTCATCCGAGGAATACTAGTCTGTGTAGGGTGCAATCTTCCACATAACAAATAGCCAGAGATAGCTTGTAATACAGAATCTGCTGGGAGTTTGTTTCTAGGTGCTACATTTGGAGATCTTCCTGGCCGGCATAATCCGGTTTATTATACACGGTTTTCTTAAGATCAAGGGCGCAGTGACAGAAGCAGCTAGCGACCACAATCCTGCCATTCAAAGACGACATTCGGAAGCAAGATATGTAAAGCCCTGCCGGTTTATTTGCAGTGTATAAACCGCCGGTACGGCAATCTCAGAATGAGCATCTTTTAACAATATGGTCGGTACTTTAAACGCGGTGACTTGGCTCGCCTCAATCA